TGGCTGAGGAAACAAATTAGACTTTGCAAACATTGCAAAGACTAAATCAATACATTAATATTTAGGGGACATTAAGGGGGTTTATTAAACAGAAAAAGGGCCTTGAGTATTACTTTGGGAACGTGTTTAAATAAAATCCCGAGGTTGTGGTTTCTGACTGAATCTATAAATGGCATTTCCTCAGACAACTGAACTCTTCACAGGCAGGAGTCGAGTGCTGATCTTGTACAGAAACGAGACAATGCAGGGAGGGCAGGACAGGAGTAAGAGCCAGGTCTCACACGCACAGGGTCTGTCCCCAGCGGTGTCCCACATGTGTCCAGCATGGGCTGGATTAAAATAAAAACTAAGACAGCAAGTAACTGATGGGAGAAAGTTTTTGTGTCACTGATACACTAGTGTTGACAGTTTGCCCATGGCAGCAGGTGGAACAGGATGATCTTTAAGGTCCCTTCCAACCCAAACCAGTCTGGGATTCTGTGACAGTCTTGTAGAAGTGCTCCCTAAGCTGGTGTTTGTTCTTCTTCCCTGGGATCCATGCAAGTGCATTATTAAAGCAGAACAAAATCCTCCCCAAGCTCTTATTTCACTGCATTCAAGAGAACAATCTCTTTCAGAGGAGTTCCTTATTCTCCTAATCATCCTGGTGGCCCTCCCTTGGTGACTGAGGTCCCTTTGACACCCTACTGTGGTCTCTGTGTCCCTGGAGTCCCAAACACAACTCCTGACCTGCCCTTTACCCCCACAGTCCAAGAGCATCCTCACCATATCCTGCCCTGGGGAGAAAGGGTCCCTGGGGCTGGGACCCCTTGCTCTGCCCCGGGGATCAATTCATTCTCAAGGACAGTGGTAAACATGTCTTAATATTTTTCCCAATTGAAAGAAAAACATAGCTTGGACGATGCAATTTAGAGTTTGGTAGAATAAATGTCAGATTAGAGATGGCAGAAATTGCAACCTTTTGGAGAAAAATTATGAGCAGTAGAGTGTGGAAATAGGGATTTAATTTTTCTCTTTTACTGTAACAAACAGCTGATGTTTAAATCATCTGAAGCTCATGACTTTGCGGATCAAGCATCTGCCACTGAGGTAGACTGCGTTGATTACAAGCTCCTATCATCTAAACTTTCAATTAATTACTTCATAATTCTCACTTCTTTTTAATAAGGTCACTGTAATAAAGTTAACTAGATGATGTTACTCTCTTTCATGTGGTTTTTCTTTCACAGATGTAAATGTGGGCTAAAGACATATTTTCTGTTTTCTTTTTCATTAACTATCATCTTCATTGATTTCCTTGGTACAAACAGGAGTAACTGTAACAGGAAACAGTGACCAAGACCTGACCCGGTGGTCTCCTTAAGGTCCTGTGCTGGGTTTGGCACAGGGATTTGAGGAGGGATTTGGGAGACTGAAACTCAACCTCCAGCTCTGCCAGTTGTTCCTGATGGGAAGTGGCCGAGTGCCCCTGGGTCTTGGATGGGACAGCAATGGAGAGGCTGCTGCTTCCCTTGTTCATTCATCATGGTGCTCGTCTGTGTCTTACTCACAGAAATTAAGGCATCTTTAAACTATTAAAATGTATTTATTTACTTCTATGAATATGAAATTGTCAGCCCAAGAAGCAGAGAAGAGGATATTCAACATGACAGCTCCTGGCTCCCTGTGTGTAGAAAGACTGACGCACACACCAAGTCAAAGGAAAAAAGAGGGAGTTGGGTTTGCACAGCTTCTAACGTGGAGCTTCACAGCAAATCATTTTCCTATCTGGAGTCTGAAGCTATTTGGGAGCTTATGATCTGACATAAGCCTTTCCTCATCTCATTTGTGACACAAATGTGTGACACACATCCCCCTGGCTCCTCCAGCTCCACTGTTTCCAGCAGGAGAACATCTTCTTCCACTGTTCCTCCATAGAACATAGAACACAGCCTGGAGGGTAGAGCGGTGTGAAGGGACTGAGACTCTGCTCTCAAATGATCCTTTTCTGCTGTGATTTCCTGTGCTGCTCTGGGTCTGTGCTGAGCTTTATTCACAATGTTAAAGGAGGCTCAGCCCTTTGACAGAACGGTTTTGCTTTGGCATTTATCCCCAGTAGCAGAAATTGTTTCTATTCTCAAAATACAAAGTCATGAAGGATATTACAGGGAAAGACAAAGGTGCTCCCATGAAATCTGATTGTATCATCCCTACAAACCCTATTGGGCAGAAAAGGCTATTTCAGCTCTTCACACCAACCAGCACTTTGTGGTTTTCTTTACAATCTCAGGTACTTTCAGACAGGTCAGTCTCCACCTCAAAGGAGGCCTGAACGTGGTGTCCTCACCTACAGTCTCAGCACATGGAGGATGAAGAGATGAACATAGGTCTAGGTGTGCCCAGGTGGCCAAAAAGGCCAATGACACCTGGCTTGTGTCAAAAATAGTATGATCAGAAGGATTTAGGGAAATAATCTTCCCTCTGTATTGGGCACTGCTGAGGACTCACCTCAACTCCCATAGTTCTGGACCCCTCATGACAAGAAAGACACTGAGGGGCTGGAACGTGTCCAGGGAAGGGAACGGAGCTGGGGAATGGTGAAGGTGGAGGTGATCTAAGATCAGGCAGAACAGGCCTCTGAAATGTGGGCTCGTCTTCCCACAGGAAAAATAAATGAACCTAAGACAGAGTCCCTGTTCCAGGAGATTTTCAGCACAGAGACACTGAGGTTCTGGTTGGAAAAGCCCTCTCATACGATTAAGTCCAAACTGCGCCCAATCCCCACCTTGTCACCCAGCCCAGAGCACATCCAGTCATTCCTTGGACACCTCCAGGGATAGGGACTCCATCACCTCCATAGGCAGCCCCTTCTGATGCCTGACCATCCTTTCCAGGAAGAAATTCCTCCTGATGTCCAACTTGAACCACCCATGGTACAGCTTGAAGACATTTCCTCTTCTCCTGTCCCTTGTCCTTTGAGAGCAGAGCCCAACTCCCACCTGGCTCCACCCTCCAGTCAGGGAGTTGCAGAGAGTGAAAAGGTTCCCCCTGAGCCTCTTTTTCTCCAGGCTGAGCCCCCCCACTCCCTCAGCTGCTCCTGGTGCTCCAGACCCTTCCCCAGCTCTGTTCCCTTCTCCAGACATGGGAAATACAAAACACTTCTGCAATCTCTGAACATCCCCCACATAAACCACATGGTGACAGGTCTTGACACCTTCATGGAAAGTCATAAAAATGACTCAGTGGTGGCTTTTTGGCAATACTGATAAAATAATGTTCTTTAAGCAATAACTACACTTAGCTCAGAGCTCCAGCCCAACATTCCTACAAACCAGTGGGTTCTAAAGATCCCGTGGATAAGGATAATTAGTTTGGGAATGGTTTCACACCCGTTCTTTGTAAGGGATTTCTGTGTGCCATATGGATTAATAGGGATTGCCATTTCGATCCTTCTCTTTTATATTCATTGCCTTATTACTCATAAAAATGCAAAAGAAAATGTTAATGATGATTGCACCAAAGACTAATAAGTTAAAGCCTTAGGTTATACTTTGCATTTCTGAAGATATAAATGCAATTGCTTAATAATTATGCATATTTTTAACTATTGAGTTATTATTTCTCTATATGCTTGTAGTTAGCCTAATTAATTTTAAGCTCCTGTTGATATATTTTATACATGCAATTAATTTCCGACTTGGTTTTTTAGCCCTTGCACGAGGGCATTAATTATTATGAAGACAATCAAAGCCGAAAATTGTTCACCTTGGAACAACACAATAAATATTAAACCCACATGTGTAAAACTGACACTGCTGTTCTGAAGTCCTTCTAGCAGAGAACTGTCACTGAAATAAATAGACTGTTCTTATCAGGAATACTGGGATCTGGGTATTTCTGTGGGATAAGTGCTCTGGAAGAAACAAGAAGGAAGAATGGGAGGGATAGGGAGAGAGAGAGAGAAAAAGAAAGAAATAAAGGAAATAAAGAAAAGGAAGAAAGGAAGA